CCCGGTCACACCAAACACGCACTTCAGCCGTGGGGGCGTTATAATGTGACGGTCAATCCCACTATTCCTTGGTAGCCTTCCCTCTAGTCTTACATTGCTAAATTAGGGACGGCTAGCGCAGATAGCCCTCGTGCAGCTTTGCGCGAAATTCAAAAACAAACAATACAATCTAAATAATTGCCTGTTTCAAATATTTTCACTTCACAGAGTTATATAAATATTTATATGGAACGTTTTCTTTTGGAATCATGTAAATATTGAAATACTAGTTTCCTTTGGATTTTTAGCATGTAAACACATTTTTAGGCACTAGAAAGTAACCATAACAGAACACCATTTATATCAGGCCAAACAAAAACCTTGTCAAAATATAAAAACAAACTTCAGGCTATGAAGAAAGTGTATCAGAACGAACGTCACTTTACAGGCAAATCGTATAAAAGACATGTATTCAAATTTTGGCCTAGCACGATACCATCTGAATACAATATTTCAGGCTAGACTAGAAAAGAGATAAAAAATAATTATAAAAACCCGCAGTGAAAGAAATTCCAAAAGTAAAACAAAAAACTGAAAGTAAAAAAAACAACTACTTGAGATGAAAAAAAGACTACTGAGTAACCTGAACAAAGTTTAACGTTACAAAGAAACCATTTTGAAACAAACTCCAAATTAGAAGGAAGCTATTGACTACAAGGGATTCCTATTAAAACAAACAACAGACCACAAAGAAGATGCCTCAAAACAAAGAATACCTTGTTGGATATAGACTATTCAACTTAAGAGATATTATTTAGTTTCTTTAGTGATTTAATATTTAATGATTATTTAATTTTCATAACAAGAGTGCTAAAAGTTACTTATTTTAAAAGAGATGGTTATGACACGTTTCGTTATGTAACTCTGTTCATAATTCTGTACTTTGTGCATGCAGTTTAATTGTTGTAGTAGACTTTTGTAATATTGTTGAAGTAATGTTACTAGAAGATTCTAAGTTTTTCTCGTTGTGTTTAATATTGTTGTTACCAGAGGGCTAAATATTTCTAGATTTTTCTGTTGCGTGTTATAAATACGTGCAGATACAGAGAAGAAGCAAGTTAAGTTAGTGAAAGTAAAAGTGAAAAAAGTGAAGTTACGCTGCGTGATTGTCAGTTTAGCCGTAAAGGGCGATTTCTAAAGTGAGTTTCACAGTTCGTATTGTAAAAACAGAGATAAAGTAGAATAATTTGTCTTGTCAAAGGGTGTTCTAAACTAACTGAACCGGCCTGTGTTGACTTTGACGAATAGGATACAATTATTTAAAGCTCTGGATACAATTAGAGTAACCCACAGGGTAACGTAGGTTAATTTAGTACTGATTATATTGTAACAACAGAGATAGAGAAGAATAATTCGTCTTGTCTAAAGTAATTGAACTAGACTGTGTGGACTTTTGACGAAAAATATAATTATTTAAAGCTCTAGATTCAACTGTGGTAACCAACAGTGTAACGAATTAATTTGTACATGCGTTTGACTTGTTTTGAATATTTTAAAACTAGTGAATTGTGTGTGTTGTCCGTTTATTGTTGAAATTTATCGCAAACAAGTCACAGACACCTACTGTAAAGAATCCGGTCGCTATAAAACTTAAAGGACCACAAGGACTCAAGAGGAAAATAATGTCAGAATAAACTTCATAATACAAGGAAATATTTTCAAAATAGTCCTCACATTATAAGGAAAGCGCACCAAAAGAAACATCAAACAAATAAAAACATGTTCCAGGTCAAATTTCACTCAAGAGGGAAACTGTATCAGGAAAAACTTTTTAATACATTGAAATCATATCAAAACAAACCTCAGACTATAATAAAAGTTTATCAGAAAAAATTTCACACT